GTATCTATTAAAATACTTGGTTTTTTCATCTTTCTTTTTTTAATCTTTAATGATATTTCTTTCATATTATTCCTAAGATAATTTGTGATACTTTTAAAGGCTAACATTTTATATTTTGTTAATTACTTTAAGTATAAAAGCAATATAAATATTCTCAATGTATTGTCAGGGTATTTTTGAACACTGGAAACATTTCTGGGTGAAGTCATTGTTCTCCTGTTAACATTATTACTCATGTAAAGGATTGTGATTATCTTCTATACATGGAGTTCTACATATGACTACAAGTTGTATGCACAGATGATGTAAGTTCAGACTAAGTTATATGGCTGTGTTGTTTAGGATTTATATTTGGAAATGATTCATAGGTGAATGATTGGCCCTGACCTTTATGGAAAAAACAATAGGGTGACATAAATACCCCACTTAATATTGTTGGCTTGACTTTAGATAACCTACCTTGGACAAAATGAAGTCTGAGCAAAAACTAGTTTTTCTTCTCCTTTTCATCATTTTTTTCTCATAAAAGCAAATTTTAAAAGCCACATAGGTGCAGTCATTCAACAATGTGGGATTCACTGCTGAAAGCCACTCGGTCCCAGAGCATATACTCTGTGAGATGGTATCTGTATATAGCCCTTTATTCAAACCCTTGAGAGAAGATGTGCCTGTGAATGCAGAATTTTTCTAATCTTAGGAAAATAAAACAGTGCACGCATCTTCTTTACAAAATACTCCCAGAGGAACCCTGTGCTGTGTCCTATAATCAAACACATTAATGTGTCAGCAGTGGCAATCATGACTATTCACTTAGGAATAATGAAGTTTGTAAATGGTGTCACATCAAGATAAGCAAGGTTTTATAGCCAAATGAGTTACAGAGACTTTTACTTTTTTCAGCTTTTTGGATTTCAGAATTGTAGATTAAAGCTTGTAGACCTGCAGTGTTTACTAAAAATAGAAATGTCTGCTCTCAAAGGAAACTAGTGTGTTCATACTTAGCTAGTTCATACTGGTAGGCCCATACTTGTACTAAAATATTGAAATATTTGGTTAATTGGTGGCCATTGTCCAAAGCCATTCAAGGACTGTCCCCTCTAACCCATCCATCACCTGCATCCCCAGTACTTCCCCTACACCTGAAATGATCCAACAGTTGAAGGAATAACTCCTGGCTCCACAACCAGTCCTGTGTGGTGGGTGGTGTCTGAGCCATATCACTTGTTCAAAATTTGAATATCATGCCTGAAATTACAGGACAGTAAATTTCTTCCAGTAGAGCCAGAGGATTTTGACAGGGTAAGTAGAGGTTGGAAGAACTAAGGAGTTTTGTTTTAAACTTTTCTAGATCAGAAATTTGGGTGAGCAGGAGCCAATGAAATCATTATCCAGGGGGTGTGCTTGCCACAAAATACTACTTCTCAATTTCTGCTGACATGTTAATTGTACTAAACACTCAGCTGCCCTTGAGGCTGCTATCTATTCGATTTTTCCAGAGTCGTTCAATCAAAGCTACTGAGCTTCTCTCAGCCTATTATCCACCCTTCTTGTGTTGTCACTGCTACTGCTGTCCTCTTTCTCCCTGTTCCTTTCTCCTCCTCCTCTTTGTCCTATTCTCTTCCTCCTCCTCCCCCTAAAATTCACCTATAATGCACATCTGTTTGTACAAAAATGTATGTAACCTGCATAGAGAATATAGTCAAAGGTTCTGTAACATCTTAGTAACTACTCTAGTTGGGGTATTTAATAATGTATGTAACCATCAAGTCACAATATTGTATACTTGAAACCAATATAATATTGTGTATCAACTATAGTTCAGTAAAAAGAGTATAAAAAATATCAACCTGTAATTATTTTTTATTCTTCCAACTTCAAACTTCCCATCCCTATATTCTCCCACCTCCTCTTGAGAATACTGAAATAGCTCATCTCACAAAAAAGAAAGGTCTCCATTCTATTATTACCTCTTCAGATTCTGCCTTCTCCTCTTTAGGCATTTCGTTCTTATCCTTTCACGCATGTAATATTGTGACTTTTAAGCATCCTATTACAACCCTCATTACAATTCTTAAGTACATCCCACCAACTCAGTATGATCACTTCCCCCAATTTCTCTCCCACCCACAAATTTAGTTATGTTTCCTAGCCTATGTCACAGCTTACTGATAGTCTTGCATTTTCTTTTCTATATTCTAATGCCTATTCCTAATATATCGTTTGGAGGCATTATTGTTAAGACCACAATATTTAAATGGAAAACAAGAAGCGTCTAAGTTCATGAAGTAAAGATTCTGATACTGTAATTTTTCATATGTTAAAAAG